TTTCAAACATAGGCTGGAGAGTCATTTGTCGGGGGTGCTTTGATTGTGTTTTCCTGCATGGCCAAATGGGGTTGGACTGGATGGGCCTTGGGGTCTCTTCCACCTCCATGATTCTATGAATTGCAGTCAAATGAACTTAAATGTGGTGCTGATTCCAGGCACAAAGGGGGGGGAGGGTTGCCAGTCCTATACATCAGATCATTTAAAAAGCACTAATCTAAAATATACAATAATCCCACAGAAATACCACTTACAAACAACTAGTTTCAACATACATTCACATTTTTTAAATTGATAATTTAGCCCAGCCTTCCCCAATGTCCAGGAGACATTTGGACTTCATCTCCCATCAGCCTCAGACAGCAAAACCAATGACCAAGAATTCTGGGCATTGTAAACCAGGGTATCTTAGAGAAGGATGGCTAACTCTTAGCACTTTAGCCCATGTATGTCAAAACAATTGGTAACTATGCATTAGTCCTGGTATAGTTGTTGGCTTAACTTGAAATAACTGGTCTCAAATTTTAGTCAAACACCCCTTGGTCACACAGCCAGAGTCTACATGAAGAAGCCACAGAGTAGTGCTCAGAAACTACGGCTAGTACAGACCACTACTTATTGTGAATATAGTACTGATATGTGTCTGAGGAAGTAGACTTAAGTTTACAAAGGTTTATGCTACCAACTTCTTGCTTTCAGTTAGCTCCAAAGATGCTACATGATCCCCTTGCATAGTGATCCAGACTAACACAGCTATTTCTTTGAATTCTGTATGCATCTCACATATTCTCCTACTTGTCTTTTTCTTTTGGCTTCTGACTAAGCCTAAAATCACAAGTCATCAGGGAAACAAATAGAGTGATGGTGAATCCACTCTGGCTTTTATCCTGCGCTTGGGATAGCTCCTTGGGATTAAACCCAGGAGTAATTTCAGCCACCCAACCTGACATGGGAGACATCAATTATAACAGGGAGCAGTGCTGTAGTGATATGGCAGCAGGAGGAAGGAAGGCAGACGCCCTGTTTCCCTGTAAATAATTTGCCATATGAAACACCACTTTCATGGGAACAGCTCTAGAGTCTCCAAGGTTATCTGTATAATAGTAGAAGAAAGGAGCTCTCACCACGGTTGCCCAGGTTAAAGGCTAGTTCTTGAGAAATAAGCAGGAACTTGGTATTTGGTATACAGCCATGCCTCAGTTAACAAAGCTTCTGACAACAAAGCTCCATTTTACAATGGCTTTTTACACTCTTCTTACTTCTGCTCCCTTTCTTCCTTATTCTCTTGTCTAGTTGGAAGATTTTAAGCAGCATTGGCATTAAGAAGATGGTGAAGGGGGGCTGGAGAAACAGGTTACTGCACTATGTCTACAGTAAACAAAGCAATAAAGCCTGGGCTGGGAAAGCTTAGGGCTCAACTTTATCTAATCCCACTTTAGCTCTTTCTCTCTGTGCATGTGCCTATAATAAGCAAGGCAAACCGCAACTGCTTCCAGAACCCTTACTGAGTGGGGATGAACAGCGAAATAGAAAAAAGGAGAACGGATAAACCTGCCTCACCTGCTACTCCCCACATATTCAAAAAGCATAGATCTATAAATCTGCCGCATGAAATGGGCCACTTTTCATAAGAACAGTGGAAGCTGGTGATAGAAAAAGTCATCCCTGAATGCATTTTGGAAGAAGCATTCAAGTGGTCTTTAGAAGGGTCCAAATGTTCACCAAATGTTTTTGTTCACTTACCTGACCTGGCTGTTTAATTTCACCTGTGCATATGATTGATTTTGAGGGAAAACATTGATGAAACACGTTGAAATTATCTTCTTTTTTGTGGCATAGGAATCTGTCCCTATTCTGTCCATGTTACTTCTATTTCTGATACCAAAGCTTCTGTTAAAGAACTAAAGTCCAGGAACACATCTACTTCTTAACTGAAGTCTGTGCTGTAGTACCTTGGTTTCTGAATATGACCTGCTCAGGTCAATCTGACATTTCTGTCCCCACCTCATATTGTTTTGTGACACCTCTGGACCGATTAATAGCAGTTTCACACTTTCATGGCTTTCATGGCTGGGATCCATAGTTTTTTGTGGGTTTTTTGGACTGTGTGGCCATGTTCTAGAAGAATTTGTTTCTGACGTTTCGCCAGCATCTGAGTCTCTGAAGATGCCAGCCACAGATGCTGGTGAAACATCAGAAAGAAACTCTTCTAGAATTTGGCCATACAGCCTGAAAAACCCACATAAAACTAATAGCAGTGTGCTTGGCAGCAGTTCATCAGGTGCAGTTCCCCCCCCCCCTGCAGATCCATGGTGGCAAAAAGCCATTATTCCCTTATTGGCCAATTGAAATAGCAGAGATTCGGTTAGGAAAGAAAAGGAAAAGCTCTACCAAGAGTTGATGTCTGCATGTTCTTGTTATAAGTTATGTAAAAACTCCTGCTCTAATGGGTAGAACACTCATAATGGACAGATTTTATCATAAAGTGGCAGAATTTAAAGATATAACCATATTAGTCTGTAGAATCAGATGCATTTGGTGGAGCAACTTGTCTATGAAAGCTCATACTGCCAACTTCTTTCTTTCAGTTAGTCTCAAAGGTGCTACAAGATCTCTCTACATGTTTCATCATATAGGACTGATGATGACAGAATCATGTGCCCAAATCTGACATCCATTGCTTCTGTTTTCAGTTCCAAAAACATATCTCAGATAGGAAAAACCTGACAGAATAACAGTAAGTATACTTAAAAAAAATATATGGGAAAACACCCACACCTACACGTATCTGATGAGACTGCTTTGTAGATATATTTAACATTTTATTCTTTGGCATGTCCATTTTGAAACCTAAAATTCCTATCCAGTATATAATGATGATTAGGCACAAGTAACTCTCTCTCAGCCCTAGGAGAAAGCAATGGCAAACCCCTCTGAACAAATCTTGCCAAGAAAACCCTGTGATAGGGTGGCCATAAGTCAGAAACAACTTGAAGGCACACAACACACCCACACAGCTTAACTCTGTCTTTAGTAATTAAAACAAAGTAACACAGATTCCTGTAAATTAATGTGTGTGTTGTGTGTGTTTTGTTTCCCCAACAGCACCAGAAAGGTAAATAGGCAGGATATCTATAAGTTACCAAGTTAAAATGTAAACCCAGTACCTACTCATGGCTCTGTTTCTTGGGAAACTGATTTTTTTGGGGGGATCACACCATGGGCTACCATTGGACAGTGGAGGACAGTACCATAGAAATATTCACATAAGCATAGCTAGTTACTGGCCTGTAACTTATATTTTGCAGCTCTTTGTCCACATGATGTACCATAGTTACAGTCTGGCTGTTTACATTCAGTCTCTGGAAGATTCTAAAAAACAGTGTCTGTTGGACAGAGTGCTGCTCACTCCCTTGTTTCTTCCTCTTCTGTGAAGGATCCTGAAAGAAGTGATGCCTCCATCTGATTCAGATTTCTAAACATGGATACTACCAAAATGAATGAATGAGTAGAATTTAACAAAAAACAAAAAAACAAAAAAAAGGTGGGCTGATCTCATCAGTGGTAAACTAAGGCTGCAATCCTAAATAAATTTACTATTATTATTATTATTATT